GCAAATTCTTCTGCTAGTTGGGGTTTAGTCCACTTTTGTATCCTTCCCTTCAAGGCTTAGGGGTCCAAGATTATCTTCTGTGTCTGTGTTAACTGGTTTCCCTTTTCTTTGTTGAGGAGCGTCTGTGCAGTCCTTGTGCCTAGTCCGCCATCTTGCCAGAACTCCCGGAAATTTTAAATATCTTGAAGGAAATGAACAGTTTAAATATGGCCCAATGTGTGACACTACAATGTCTATTAATTTAATAACAGAGAAGCACTGTCCAAATAAGAAAATACAAAGAAAGAAATTGGAATAAGAATTTCATGGACCCAATCAACCTACTCAGGTGTTATTTTAGACTATGAAAACATACACATTTCATTTATTTCTGCTAATGCATAGAACGTTGTTGCTCATTTATGTTTTGACAAAGGAGTAAAATTGATTTGTGACTATAAGCCTATGTATGGGCACCTGAGCAGAAAAGATACCACTCTGTCTTCAGACAGACTGAAAGTGTCTTTTGCTGAGAAAGGTGGTTAGTGATGAATGGTTTACCTTGGAGATTCCTGAACCTGCATTTATTGTGAGAAAGTGGTATCTGGCTTCCTTCCTCGTGCCCTTTTCTGCAGACGGATGAGGTGTTCACTTGCCAGCTGCAGTTTCCTGCCTTGTAATCAGTCAGTGCCTCTTCTCTGATCCATGACAAGTTTCCATAGTCCATGGAGCTGAGGATGTTGTGATGCACCAGTGCCTCCATTTGGGCTTCACTGGACTGGATGAGGCCATTGAAAGTGGTCGTTTTAAGAAGCAAACACTTTATTTTTGGTAATTTAATCTTATGAAAAAGGAAACAGGAAAGCTTTCTTCTAAAAAGTGCAGGACAGTTTTGTAAGATTCCATTACAATGCCACTGAAGCTTTGATAGACATTGAGATTAAGTTCTAAGTGTTTTTGGATAAGTGAATTCTTTTGAAATTATTTTGACTTAATCATCACTGTATTTACCAGATATTTACCTTGAAAATTGTGATAGCTGCTGCCAAATTGTGTACCAAAAGGTTTGAACTCCTTTCAGGAACAGTGAGTGGATGATTTGAGTATTATTAATCTTTGAAATTCTGGCAATTCTGATAGGTAAAAAAGTAATGTCTTGTTTTGATTGTACTCTCTCAGTAATTAATGCAATTCAGAGATTTTTCTTCATAAGCTTATTATTCACTTTCACATATATTTTGTATATTACTTGCTTAGAACATTAGCCATTCCTCTACTGGCAGTTGTAGTTCATACACTTTTACCACACATTTAAAAGTTTACAGATTTTCTTCATGTTGAGTCATAAAAAGTCATAGAAAGATGCTCTTATGGAGCTTACATTCCTAGGGGAAGAGGAAAAAAAAAAAAAAAAGAAGAAAAATATCAGGTATAAATACTAACATAAGAACAAGGGATGTGATCAGTATTTCCTGAATGACTGCAAGCAAAATGATTAGGAAAGACTTTTCAAGGAGGTGATATTTATGTTGACAAGAACACCTAGCAGAAGAGAACCTTTTCAGGTGATGGAAACAGCTGACTCAGAGGCGTGGGCAAGCTTTTGAGTACTCCAGGAAGAGAAAGGTGATCCTGGGGCTGGAGACAAGGAAGGAGGGGAGTTGGGAATAGATGGAGAAGTTGGCAAGCTCAGAGCATGTACAGCCTTGTGTCCAGTGGAAGACATTTTGGTTTCATTCCAAGGATGTTGGAAAGTGATTGGAGCTTTATGTTGTTGTTGTTATGTGCTGTGGAGTTGGACCTGACTCAAAGCAACCCCTCCTGGGGTTTCTGAGGCAGTATCACTACGGAAGTAGATTCCCCAACCTTCCTTCTGAGGAGTGGCTGGTGGGTTTGAACCACCAGCCTTCTGGTTAGTAGTCAGATGCCTTAAGCACTATGTCAATAAAAGTGAAGAAAACCAAAGGCACTATGCTACCAGCTTTATGTAGAGGAGTGAAATAATATGATTTAAACTTTAACAAGTCACTCTGGTTGCTAAGTGAGGAATAGATCATTAGGAGCAAGAGTGGAAGTAGGGAGAACAATGAGAAAGCTAGTGCAGTAGTCTAGGCAAGAGCTGATAGTTACCAGTCTCCCAGCTACTATGATAATAGGCTTTTAACAAGCCCGTATGCTCCTTGCTGGGAGGCTACACCGATTCTTGTATTCTGGACCTTCATCAACGACTGACTGCCCAAAGGTGGGAACCCCTTTGCCTCAAGATGGGACTAACTATGGTACAATTTGTGTTCTAAGACTTCCTTGTGGGATCAGACTGGAGCTAGTCTCTAGCTGAATACATGAAATGCTTAGATATATGGCTACCCATAAATTTAAAATAAAACCAGTCAGTAAGGTTGTTTATCCTAGCTATGTTTAGATGCTCAGGTGTAGTCATGGAATAGGTGGCTGGTTGGGTGTAACTAGCATTAGGGTTTTGTCAGGCCAATACAAGGAAGTTAAGCAATTCACCAGGGATTGGCACAAGGAAAGGCTATGAGATCTCAATGGTAGAAAAATGAGAGTGTGGAACAAGAATAGTGGATTGGGATATTTGTGAAGCGGAAGAAGTGCTGAGGAAGGGGTAGTAGGATGAAGAGCTTGAAGGATAAGAGGAGACAATCAAGACAAGTTTTATATCACATTCAGAAATACTAGAAATATTTGTAGTAACAAGGTCAAAAGTGTGACCATGGTGAGTCAGAGGAAATATTGGAAGCAGTAGACTGAAGAATTGAGAAGACAATGGTGTTGGATGGATTATCCACGTGGGTATAAAAATCCTTAAACTTGGGAAAAGGAGTAGGGACATTAAACAGACAAACAACTACAAAGTAGTTGTCATCAAGTTGATTCTGACTCATGGTGACCCCTGTGTTGCAGTGTAGAACTGTGTGCTCCATAGGGCTTTCAGGCTGTGACCTTTTGGAAATGGATTGCCAGGCTTTTTTCTCAAGACATCTCTGGGTGAGTTCAAACCACCATGCTTTCAATTAGTAGTCAAGTGCATAGCTGTTTTCACTACCTAAGGCCTCCAACTAGAGCAGGGGTATAGAGGACACCAATGCAGAGGCCAAAATCTTCAGTGAAATAGAGAGATGCATAATTGATCAGATGTGGTATTTGTTTTATTTCATTGATCTCTATACGTTCTTAGTCTTTTTTTTTTTTGTGTGTGTGTGTGTGTGTATGTGTATATTATTATCCAAAAAAAAAAAACTAAGAACTCGTAGAAATCAATGAAATAAAACAAATGTCACATCTGACCAAACACCACTGCCATCGAGTCAGTTCTGACTATAATAACCCTACAAGATATAGTAAAACTGCTCCATAGGATTAAAAAAAAAAAACAAAACAGAAAACTCACTGCCATCAAGCTGATTCCAACTCATAGTGATCCCCATTGAGTTTCTGAGGCTGTAAATCTTTATGGAAGTAGATCACCCCATCTTCCTTTTGCAGAGCAACTGGTGGGTTTGAACCTCTGACCTTCTAGTTAATAGCTAAATGCCTTACCCACTATGCCACCAGAGCACCCATAAGGCTTACAAGGCTGTAAATCTTTATAGTAACAGACTGTTTCATCTTTCTCCCATGGAGTGGCTGGTGGGTTTTAACACCTGACATTTGGTTAGCAGCCAAATGCTTTAATCTTTGCACCACCAGAGCTCCTGCATTTTATTATAGAAATCAAATCTCTCATAATCCCAGCATTCATCAGATGGTGGATTGTTAAGACTGTAGCTCTTTCTCATCTGCTGCGCTGTGGTCTGGCCCGGTGTTCTACCTACTTTGCTGACACTACTCCTGGAGATCTTTCAGGGCTTTCTGTCAGCACGAGTGGCTTCTTCCTAACCTGGAAGCCAGCTCCAGAAGCTGGCTTCAAATGAATAAGCCTTCTCATTGTGCTGATCAACCTTCCTACCCCAGTGTGCTGATCTCTCCCACACTGTTAAAATCTGGGACAACCACTATTAATCACTGCAAAATAGGGCAGCAGTCCTTTATTTCCCAAAACTTGGTTCAGTGTGCAGGCCCTGCCTCTCATAGTTTCTCATCATTTTCCCAGAGTTGATCATTATGTTTGATCATTCTCTTTAATCCATCCAGATAGGAAGATCAGCTTCCTCCCATTTCTTATCTTCCTTCGTACTCAGTTATCCTTACAAATTATCTGGCAAGCCTGTCCCCTCCATTCCCTGTGGAAAACAAATCCTTATTCCACTTTCTAATGTTGTTGCTGCCACGGTGGTCTTGAACATCTGCTGATTGTTTCTGGACAGGGAATTATGGAGAGAGTGGAATGGATGCTTTCAAAGAGTTGGCTGCCCAGGAAGGCCTCTGCATTGCCCATTCGGACAAAATCTACAGCAATGCTGGGGAGAAGAGCTTTGACCGACTCCTGCGCAAGCTCCGAGAGCGGCTTCCCAAGGCCAGAGTGGTGGTCTGCTTCTGCGAAGGCATGACCGTTCGAGGTCTTCTGAGCGCCATGAGGCGCCTTGGCGTGGTGGGCGAGTTCTTACTCATCGGCAGGTAAACCTTTTTCTTTTTTCTTTGTCTCTCACATACTTTAACACACATACACTTGCACTCAAAAAACTCAAATTCCTAACTCAAAAAGAGATGGATGGGCTATACTGAGCTGGACATTAGTACTTGGCCTCATGGATTATGTTATCTTTTTGATAGAGAGAGCAGGACAGTAGATGAGAATACAATGAGGCAATTTCACGAGTTGGGAAGTTGTCTGCCAGGCTAGGTCTTATCCTAGAGAGTTATTTTTTACACCATCCCCCCCCCCCTTTTTTTCTCAGTAAGCAAATATTTATGTCTTCATACTTTCTAAGAATAGAAATGTTACTGATGAGTGGGGGGCAAACACAGGGGAGATGGAAAATATATATTTTTAAAGTTTGAAATTTAGAGGGTTTGATGAACTTAAATGAAAGCATGCATCTGAACTTTGGCCCTGGTGATAAAATCTCCTGTCACACTTATGCAATGGTTCTTGATGATGTCTTCAGCATGTGATTTTTGTAATTGTAGATGGTGGCCTCCAAGACCTTGGCTCTTCTTTGTATATAATATCTATGTACTTTTGTGGGAATAGATTTTCCATATCAGTGTATTTTTTAGTGTTGTTTTACCTGCCATTTTATAATACTGTATGAAGGAAGTGCTACATTTTTCTGAGGAAACTTCTGAGGTTACCTGAGTAAACTCATCTAGAGATCTTTGCCTCCTCCCACTTCCTCTGTTGGCTAGAGCACAGTCATATCCAGGCCACTGAAGTGCCCCAACCACTGGTCCTCTTTGCTAGTAACTAGGTAGTGCTGTGGACATTCTCATTGCACCTTTCCTGTCTGTCCATGCATTTGGGGTAATGACTGCAATAATAATAAGCTGATAGGTAGGTAAAGCCAAGGTCAAAGTTTTGCTCAGTATTAGGACATTGATTGGCTTTAGATAAAATTGTTTTACTGGAACAAAGTGCCATTTTGTCTTCTTCAGTGTGATGTAGTTATGTGAAGCCACTTAAAATGTTTGGAAGAAAGCAAATCTTTTAAGAAGGAATATTTAAAGAAGGAATGTTATTTCTTTCACTGAGTGGCAAGGAAGTAAGCAACATTGTTGAAGTGTTATACTAAATGAAGTTCTTAATATATGTGCCAGGACAGATGGCATCCATATATTCAGTCCTTTTAATTGCTTTTGTTAAATGACTGCCTTTACGAAAGGTGCTTGTTTTAAAAAGGTCTCGTGTTTATCATTTTCCAACAACAACAATAGTCTGTTTTGCAAAATCACTCTATTTAATATTCCCAAAGAGGCTATCTACCTGGGTTCTCAAATTCTTGAACAGATGTGGCAAATATGTGACCTTTGGGATAGATCGACTATGTAATTATAAAATATAATTACCCAAAAATGCTGCAATGAGTAATTAGAGTATAAAGAATTAATTCCATCATCATTATTTAAAAGCTGGGCAAGGATGATAATGTAAACTTAAGGTTCTCTGACTCTTGCTTACTTGCTCATAATGCAATTTAGCTCATGCAAATACTTCCAAGAGTATCACATGTGCTTCCTTATTAAGAGGTCAGATATATGTGGTGTCTACCTCTTTTTTCCTCTCTGGTTCGCCCAAGTATTGTTGTTCTCTACAGATACAGTCTAATTGTTCTAGTTACCTAGTGCCACTCTTTCAAGAATATATCACAAATGGGATGGCCTTAACAAACAGGAGTTTACTCTTACAATATGGAGGCTCTAAGTCCAAGTTCAAAGTGCCAGGCTCTAGGGGCTGGGTGAAAGCCCCTCAACCTTGGGGTCCAGCTGTACCTCCTGTTCCTGGCCCACTGGAGCTAGAAGTATTCCGTCACTCAGACAGCTGCTAGCTACTGAGGATGACAAACCCAAGATTGACAAATAAAAAGACACAGTCCCGATGTTATCAAACCACACGGCAGGCCATTAATTTAAGTCCATTGTAAGTCCCAAGGTTGGCAGAGCATGGCAGGCTGCTGAACAGTGACACGGCTACATGCAGGTTCCAAGCGTGCCATAAGGTAGAGACCATTCCCAAGTCTTCTCCTTATATACAGGAAGCAGACCACATCCCAAAGGCAGCTACTCAGCGCTTGTGGTAGATCCCACCATGGAGTTGATTGCCAGTCTCATCATGGGGAATAACTACCACCAGCTGTCCAGCCACTCAACCAGGCCCAGCCAAGTTGACACACAGCCACCCCTTGTCAACTTGGCACCTGTACACGTTTCCTCCACTGGGTGGCTCCAGTTCCCTAGTTCCTGAGTGGTGACCTCACCCCCTTGGCCTGGTGGGCCCCGCCCCCTCACTCTTGGGCAGTGGCTATGGCTCCATCCCACTGGCTCACACGAACGAGCAGCCCCACTCTCCAGAACCAAGTTGGTGAAGGTCTGGCTCTTTCAAACCTAGGGGGCTGTGATCATTCCACTCCCAAAGGCCATGGTCCTACCCTTTTAGGCTGAGGCAGCTCTGCTTCCATTTCTTTGGTCTGTGCTTCAGCCGATTAATACCCGAAGGCAACCAACTGCACCGGGAATCTTCTTGCCCCAAAGGACATTTAGCTTTCTTGTTCCGTGGGCCAGCCAACTGGCTACTCCATTTTATGCCAGTCTTCTCTATCAATTAATGCCCAAAGGCAACCTGCTCTGCCAGGAAGCTGCCTATCCAATGGCATCCAGCTTTCTCCTCCATGGGCTGGTAAGGCTGTCACTGTCTCATGCCGGTTCTCTCAGCTCTGCTCCTGTTGCCTCTCATGCCAATCTCTGGGCTCTGCTCTTGGTGTTTCTCATGTGAGTCTCTTGGCTCTGTTCCTGCTGTCTCTCATGATGTGTGTGGGGGTCTCTCTATCAGGGTCTCGGGTCAAGGATGCACTCCACTCCTGTTTCCATATTTTAGGTATCTGTTAGAGCAGCACCCCACTCTCTCGGTGCCAAATTCTGTTCTGGTTACCTAGTATTTCTCTGACAAGAAATATACCACAAATGGAATGGCCTTAACAAACAAGAGTTTATTCTCTTACAGTTTGGAGGCTTTAAGTCCAAGTTCAAAGTGCCAGGCTCTGGAGGCTGGGTGAAAGCCCCTCAACCTTGGGGTCTAGCTCTGTCTCCTGCTCCCGGCCCACTGGACCTAGAGGCATTTCTTTACTCAGACAGCTGCTAGCTACTGAGGCTGTGCAAAAAGGGCAGGGAGGCCACATCTTCCGACCTCCTCTAACCCTACGAGAGGAAGACAGGATTACCAGCAGTAACCCAAGGCCTATTCCTAAAAGGACAGACATGCTGCCTCCCTCCAGACCTTTCTCCAACTGTTCCTCCCAAAGCACCCACCACCTCTCTCCTGGGTTCGCTAATTCACTGCAGTGGCCACACAGAACTCACAGATTATGGAGTTTACTAGGGAAGCACCAGGCTACAATTCAAGTTCAGGAAAAATGCAGTCTCTCTCTCAGCCCACTGTCCCTCAGCCAACAGTCTCTCACAGTCTCTTTCCCAGCAGTGCTGGTCCCTTGGTGTCTCACTCAGCAATGCATGTCTCTTTCCCAGCAACACGTGTCTCAGAAGCACATGTCTCTTTCAGCAGCACGTCTTCCTCAACCAGCAGTCAGAGAGAATTCTGCCTCTAGGAGGCCTCCTTTTGAGCTTGGCAGAGTGGCCAAACTAGCCAATCATAACATCAGAACTCTAAGCACCTGAGAGAGAGCCTCCCATAACATTGCGTTGTGCCACACCCAACAG